AGGCTCCAGGCTCCGTGTGGAGGCTGCTTGAGGTTCTCGTCTCCCTCTGTCCTACCCCTGCTCATGCGCACTCTCTCTCTCTGTGTCTCTCTCTCAAATAAATAAATCTTCAAAGTGATCAATAGTGGAAAGGATGCCGGGACCATCAGACTGAGGACAGAAGGAAAGGGACAGACTTGCCACAGGATGATTCCCATGTGGCATTTCAGAGGAGCCGTGAGGAGGGGTCCCGGGCCTGAGGAGTGAAGCAGTGAAAGAGCAGAAGGCAGGGAGCGCGTGGAAGTGGTGATACGGACATTCACCTGAGAGTTCTGTTAGTAACGAAGAGAGGTCTGTTAAGATCATACCTGGAACAGGCAGCGGGTCCGAGCAGGAGTTTCCAAAACTGGAAACTACCTGGACATGTCGGGAGACAGGACTAGGAGCCGGTGGAGAAACGGAAATGCAAGGGGCCAGGGGAAGGAGGGACAGCACGTCAGTCACCCTACTCCTGGACGGGACTTCCGGAATCTGGCATTTTGCGGGGTCCACAGGTTTGAGCAAAGCCCGCACAATGGAGGGGGACATCGTCCTCCTGCGGTCTCCCAGAGACGTGTCTCTTCCGGTTGTAAGATTGCGTCATGGAAAGTCAACAAGTGGCGCCGTATTTCTTAGACTGAGTCTGGGTTATGTGTTAAGAATTCAGACAAAGAGGCAGAAGGTGTATTATGACCCCCGATTCATTGCCACCTCCTCTGAGCTCCCTCCTCCTGGCTAGGGATGGGGCCCTTTACAGGTTATGGCCTATTCACAGGGGTGCCCACAGGCTCCTCCAGTGGGATAAACAATTTAGGCACACTAGGCACAGCTCTAACTATTTTTAAGCACTGCCTACATTTGGGTTTTTAATTCTACAAGCTGTGTTTTTCTGGGGATCAATGAGATGAACGATACATGTTTGATTTCTTGGGCTCTAAAGCCTTCTGACATAAGGGGGTTAGTGAAATCCCCCAAACGAGTGCATGTCAGCCAAGAATGTGAGTGTTTGTATTTCAGAGTTTCCAGTGACAAAAATTCTGTCAGCGAGGCAAATTCAGAAAGAAACAGTTCTGTTGATAAAACCCAAGTTTTACCTATCACCAATCAATACATTTGTAGAGTGAAAACATGCCTTTCTACAGTATCTACAAATTATTGTAAGAGTAGTCGAGAGTTTATAAGACACTTTCAGATGCATTGTCTCAATTCATGCTTCGAAGTGTTAGCACACATGTTATTAGTATTCTCACTTTTATTGGACAGAAGGAAACTGAGTCTCAAAAATGGAATGACTCACACAAGGTCCCACATCCAATGATAAAACCAGGTTTCAAGCTCCCAGGGGGAGATAAGCAGCAATTCCTTTGCAAACATCAAAAACAGAAAGAAGAAAGATCCCTCCTCCCCGTGCAACAAGGGAGCGGGATGAACGAGAACAGAGTCAAGGAGAGTCAAGTGTTGAAGATGATGAACTGTGAAGGTCCCCGCGCAGCTCCTGCTGAATCCCCAGCAGGAGCCGAGCAATGAGGAGGTGATGGGCTCCTTCCACAGGTGGGCGGTGAAGATAGCTGGGCACAACACGGGAAGAACAGAAGTTCAGCTACTGTGGGTCACATCCCCAGGTGTGCCGGGCGCCCAGAAAGACGGATAATCATGACCCTGCCTCAGGTGAAGGCTACCAGTGAGCTAGTCTCAAACTTGACTTAGCCGTTGTTCTTTGAGAAAAGGGAATGAACATTTCAGGAATATGAAAATCGGTGATCTCATGAGTTCCTCTCACTCCCTGGCACCCATTCATTGAACCAACAAGTATTTATTGAGCCCTGACGTGCCAGGCACAGCGTCGGCTCCTGGGAGCACGAGATAAACAGTCCAGCTAAATATATAATCAGCAGATCCCCTACTATCAATAGGTGCCATTGTTCCGCCCTCCTCATCAAAGATCAGATGACAGATTCCCGATAAAGTGTTCACTTATTTCTGTGACTGCTTCCCACACACCCTGGAGCTGCTCTTTTCCAATAGGCTCACAGATTGGTTTTCTTTTTGCTTATACTTTAAATCCATTTCCAGATGTATTAGGAGGTTACTTGCTATACTTAGGGTTTGGGGGTCAATTTTAACTCATTTATATTTATAATCTATAGCTGCAAGTTTGTAAATCCTCTGGGTATGTGTTCTGGTGCTTCATTCCCCACCATTAGTACTGAAAATTTTCCTGATTACAATCTCTTCTGGAATTTGCACAACGTTCCATAAGTGATGGATAGTATTTATTTCTACCTTAAGCGCACAGTTTATACATCTTAATACATCGTAACACTGTTTAGGCCAGGGTCCCTTGACTTTGGCACTACTCATATTTCAAGGCAGACCAGTCTTTGTTGGGTTGGGTTGTCCCCGGCATGGAGGCGTGCTGAGCAGCTTCCCTGGCTGACCTCTCCCTCTGGAGGCCGATAGAACAACTCTCCGCAAACATGGCCAAATGTCTCCGGGGCACAAAATCACTCTGGGTTTAGAATGACCGCTCAACTTCCCCTTAGTCCTCACAATGCCTGCAATGTCTTAAATCAGGGTTGATTTAGAAAGGAATTTTAGATTCTACCACATGTGAAAAGTTCCAAAAGCACAGTTTCGGTTTGCGGGTGCTCTTCATCACTACATTTTACCACCTCTCCTACTGAGTCACTCGGGACATCCATGCCCTAACTTCTGATGAAAGATAGGGCTTACGTTCGCCTAGAGCCACCTGTTGATTTTTAAATGAAAAATGAAAGGCAATATTTCCCCGCGTTAGGTGCCCAAGGATAAAGTGCCTGGAAGTCCGCCGTACCTCATCAGAGACGTGATTCAGACAGAGCCTCCCCTGCCCGGCTTCCTCACCTCCTCACCCCCACCACCGCAGTCCCCAGAAACGCACCTCGGTGCCTGGGTCAGCATCTGGCACGGTGATGTGAAGAGTCAGCATTTCAGAACCATGTGCTGAATTAAGTGAAAAACACTCATTTTATGGATTTCTCATCAGGTTCCCAATTAATGCATTGTTATCAAAAATCAGATGACAGGCTATGGACGTGATGCGTTTATCTGTTTTCGTTACCCGAATCTGCGGGGTTCCCCAAACCCGTGCTCATGTTGTGGTGGCAGAGAGGAAGAAGGGGAAGGCGGTCCCTTGCGCCTTCAAAAAGCCTAGATCTGGGGACGGGGGTTCGGGGGTCCCCAAGTTATGAACACAGAAAAGCAGAGATCGCAAGGCTGGGGCAAGGCTGGGAATGAACAAGGGGATGAGATCAGGTGGAGATGAATATCGAGACAGCTGCAGTCTAAGCCGCTCTGTCTGCCCCTAACCAACAGACGACCTTTGGGCCCACGAGCCTTCCTGAGCCTCGGTGTTTCATCTGTTAGTACAGATATTCTAGAGCAGGCTGTGATGTGTAGGGCATGGGGCGAGCCAGTGCACCTGCCACGGATGCCTGCCACCCTGTGTATCATGTATGGTGGGTGCCCAGTCAGCGGGTGGGTAAGACCTAGGCAAATTATAATGTTTAGAATGGACAATATCTAGCTCTATGGCACTTTATGGTTTATAATCACTTTCCTATGCATTCTCTCCTTGGATCCTCGGAATGACCTCATGAGACAGCCCAGGTATTATTATTTGCATCTAAGAGCTAAGACTGAGCTTGGAGATGCCGGTCAGAGTTAGAACTCAAGTCTACATCTCCTAAAGCATGATGTGTTTTTCCTTCTGCATCGTGATGCCGCGTAGGGAACAAAGACATGTCTCTCTCCATAAGGCTCTTTTAAATTCATCATCAGCTAAATGGCCCCACCTGGGACACCTTCACCAAATCCCCGAATGCAGCGGAATTTCCCTCCTGTAGGATATGCTCTGTGTCCACATCCTAAACCTGAGAGTGTGTAGCACTGGTTCTAACTGTCTGATTATAATCCTAACTCCTGAATCACATACCTGTCTGAATCCTAACTGCCGAATCACGTACCTGTCTACACTCCTGGGCTGTAAGCTCCCCGAGGCATGACTGGGTCTCATTCAGCGTCTCATCTTTGATGTCTACCCCAGTCCCTGCTAATAGGCACTCCATAAATATTTGTTAAATTAACTGACTAGGAAAACTCAATGTAAGATGGAGGCGTTCCTATACTAACTACCCAGAAAATTAAATGTCAAAATTTATTATAGTTTCCCTGTCCACAAATAATTTTATGTATAGAGTCTACTTTCTACAGAATCAAGTAAACTCATATTTTATAAAAATGATTTTCCTCTCCAAAATTCAAAATGGATCCCATGTACATTGAATGTTTCAGCTCAATACCTTTGTGATACTGCCACAGTTTTATGGAAATAATTTTGGATGAGTGGATGGATGAGTCGCTTAAACTTGAGTTAATTGGTGTGTACCAGATTTTCTGTTAACTAGCCATCCATTTCAAGGATATAAACCCTTTCAATAGATAAGTATTCAATAGATAACTTTCGATATAACTGATAATTGTGAATGTTCTTGCTGGCTTTATTGGGAATAACTCGCACCTCCCAACCACAAAGATTTGGTGCCATTGTAATATTCAGAATGTCCACCAGGATGGTATTTTATCTTTGCGAGATTTTAGTTTTTAAAAGATCAGAATAGGAAAAGGACATCTGCATCAAGGGATGCCTGGAACTGGAAGGTGCAGAGCTTAAATGTGTGAAACACCGGGGTTACCTCCTTGCCATATCCCTCCATGTTGTGAATGTCCTTAAGTAAATGAAGGAAAGGGGATTGCAGGGAGGCTCAAAGAACAAAAAGGAAAAAGAACTATTTACTAAGGTGAAAAACATATGCTCTCCTTAAAAACAAGACAAGGGCTCGAGGCATTGAGAAATGATCCCTGCAGTGTGGCTTGCAGTACACATCGGTCCACGTCGCGCTCAAGATCTAAATCAATCCCTGCTCTTGTGGATTGCCCAACAGGATTTTCTGGCGTCGGCAGGTTCACATGATGGCGGGGATCCGGCCCAGCACCATTACCAGCTCCTTCCCCCAGCTTATGTCCAACGTGGATGCAGCTTACGAAGTGGCCGACAGGGGCACCGCTTACTTCTTCAAAGGTACCCTACAGATCCGTGAGGTACAGGAACGGTGGGGTGCCCAGCGTGTTGGGAACAGCTGGTACTGGGAGCATTTGGTGAGGGATCGTGGAGCGTGCTCGGGTCACTCCTCCTCAGGTCGGCCATGAAATGCCGCTCTGTTGTACTATAACAATGGCAGGAAGGACAATGACTCTCACAATGTTCTTAGAGCCAACACTCTGCCCTGGAGAGGCACCATGCTAAGTGACAATGCCCAGGGGGGCTATAAACCTGGTCCCCGCCCCTCAAGGTGGCATGGCATGCCCCACTGAGAGCCTCTAGTCAACAAAAGCCAACGTGGCACCCCATGTGAGGAGAACACCTGTGACTCTGGGAGGTGGGCACGGTGTCAGTCTCTGGCTCCAGCCCTTTACTATCAGAGTGACTTTGGGGAATTATCTAACTGCTCTGAGCCTTCATGTCTTCCTGGCTTATAAGTAGTAATATCAACCTCAAAGATGCGTTGGTGGCTAGCCAATGGGCGTTATCCAATAGGTGGTACCTGTCAATTTTAGCTTATTTTTCCTGATGCTGGGGGATGAGGGTACAAGGCCAGTGCCAGCTTACAAATCACAGCATTTGTCCATCACATGCCCCTTCTCTCCCATGCATATATATGAGACTGAAATGAGGCTATACACATGAAAAGTATCTTGAAAAAAAATTAATGTGTGAAATTTAAGACCCAATTGTATCAAAATTATTACTTTGCTAAGGCATCACTAGAGATGTTTGCCTCCAGAGTAGTTTTAATTGAATAAAAGCCTATACGTTGGGTTACAGCCATGGCAACTATCCCATAAACTACTCCCATTTGGGATCCTGCATAGAAATCCTCATGAGTGAAGTACATCGCCGAGTGGTACAGAGTTTTTCTGAACTTTAATTTCTGTTTTCAGGCCCCCACTACTGGATAACAAGAGGATTCCAAATGCAAGGTCCTCCTCGAACTATTTATGACTTTGGCTTCCCAAGGTATGTGCAGCGAATAGATGCTGCTGTCTATCTCAAGGATGTGCAGAAGACCCTTTTCTTTGTGGGAGATGAATACTACAGGTATGGCTTTTCTCCTTTTGATTGTCCAGATATATTCAATGGGAAGAAAAAATCCTTTTGCAGAAAAGAATGCAAAGCAAGTTTGCGATCGGCCCATTGACTCCTCTTGGCCCCTGGGATGCCATTTACTCATGGTTGATACGGTCTCTAAGATATGAAACCACCCAAATAACTGAAGCATTCATTCATGAATCCCATTGTTTGTTCTCTAGCACATGAAACATCCTAATCCTTCATGCATTTATTAACTGGACCTCCAGTGGCCTAAAAGAGTGGACACAGCATCCCCAAATACATTGCTAGCCACAGGGAATGCCTCGGGGTAAAACTGACTCCTTGTTATGTGGGTACCAATGCATCCCAGAATATTCTGTGATTTTGTGCAAAATGGATGTAGTCGTGACTGTGGGGCTCTTTGAAGGAAAGTTCTGCTGAAAGGAAAAGCCCTTATTGCTAAGTCTTTTTATCCGACCCAGAATGTGAAGACTCTTCTTACCCAAAGTGGATCATACACAATTGTCCTGCAGACCTGAGTAAGGTGACATCTGTCATCCAGTCACTGTGCACAGGGTCACACCTCATTCCACCTGCTGGGTTTCTATCCTTAACTGACTCATGTGAAGGGTGAGCAAGGTCTGCCTCTGCACACTTCCCCCCTACTCCCAGCTCTCATGTCCACAGTACTTGTTCATCTGAACCTCAGAAGAGAGAAGTAAAAACAACAGATTCTAAGCAGTTGACTATGCTAAATAGTTTAATTTTTTTTCAGATTTTATTTATTTATTTTATTTTATTTTATTTTATTTATTTGAGAGAGAGCACAGAGGGAGAGGTAGAGGGAGAAGCAGACTTCCCGCTGAGCAGGGAGCCCAACATAGGGCTTGATCCCAGAACCTTGAGATCATGACCTGAGCTGAAGGCAGATGCTTAACTGACTGAGCCATCCAGGTGCCCCAATGCTAAATACTTTAGGTCCATGATAGGATCTGGTTGGAAGCAGGAGAGTACCCAACTTTGGTCCATGGGTTTTCATTTTATTTTATGTCACTTATTTAAGTTTTAATTTAAATTCCAGTTAGTTAACATACAGTGTAATATTAGTTTCAGGAGTAGAGTTTAGCAATTCAACACTTCCATCCATCACCCGGTGCTCATCACGACAGGTGCGCTCCTTCATCACCAGCACCTGTTTCCCCCATCCCCCACCCACCTCCCCTCTGGTCACCATCAGTGTGTTCTCTGTAGTTCAGAGTCTGTTTCTTGGTTTGTCTCTCTTTCTTCTTTTTCTCCTTTGCTCATTTGTTTTGTTTCTTAAATTCCACATCTGAGTGAAATCATATGGTATTTGTCTTTCTCTGACTGATTTATTTCACTTAACATAATACTCTCTGGTTCCATCCATGTCATTGAAAATGGCAAGATTTCATTCTTTTTGACAGCTGAGTAATAATCCATTGTATATCTATATACCACATCTTCTTTATCCATTCATCTGTCGATGGACATCTGGGCTCTTTCCATGGTTTGGTTATTGTTGGGAATGCTGCAATAAACATCAGGGTGCATATATCCCTTCAAATTCATATTTTTGTATCCTTTGGGTAAATACCTAGTAGTTCAGTGCCTGGGTCGTAGGGTAATTCTATTTTTAACTTTTGGAGGAACATCCATGCTGTTCTCCAGAATAGATGCACCAGCTTGCATTCCCACCAACAGTGCAAGAGGGTTCCCTTTCGTCCGCATCCCCGCCAACACCTCTTGTTTCCCATGTTGTTAATTTTAGCCATTCTGACTGGTGTGAAGCAGTATCTCATCGTGGTTTTGATCTGCATTTCCCTGATGATGAGTGATGTTGAGCATCTTTTCATGTGTCTATTGAGCATCTGGTTGTCTTTTCTGGAAAAATGTCTATTGTCTTCGGCCCATTTTTTCATTGGATTATTCATTTCTGGGGTATTGAGTTTAATAAGTTCTTTATATATTTTGGATACTAACCCTTTATCAGTATTTGCAAATATCTTCTCCCATTCCATAGGTTACCTTTTAGTTTTGTTGATTATTTCCTTCTCCGTGCAGAAACTTTTAACTTTGATGAAGTCCCAATAGTTTATTTTTGCTTTAATTTCCCTTGTCTCAAAAGATATGTCTAGTAAGAAGTTGCTACCTCTGATGTCAAAGAGGTTACTGCCTACGTTCTCCACTAGGATTTTGATGGATTCCTGTCTCACATTTAGGTCTTTCATCCATTGTGAATTTATTTTTGTGTGTGGTGTAAGGAAATGGTCCAGTTTCATTCTTCTGCATGTTGCTGTCCAATTTTCCCAACACCATTTGTTGAAGAAACTGTCTTTTTTCCATTGGGTATTCTTTCCTGCTTTGTCAAAGATTAATTGATACATAGGTGTGGGTCCATTTCTGGGTTCTCTGTTCTGTTCTATTGATCTGTGTCTATTTTTGTGCCAGTGCCATACTGTCTTGATGACTGCAGCTTTGTAATATAACTTGAAGTTCTGACCTATGATACCTCCAGCTTTGCTTTTTTTTTTTTTTCTCCAAGGTTGCTTTGGCTATTTGGGTTCTTTTGTGCTTCCATACACACTTTAGGTTTAAGGTTGGCATTTATGTAGATTGCTTTGGGTAGCATAGACATTTTAACAATATTTGTTCTTCTAATCCATGAGTATGGAATGTCTTTCCATTTCTTTGTGTTTTCAATTTCTTTCATCAATGTTTTATAGTTTTCAGAGTACAGGTCTTTAAACTTCTTGGTTAGGTAGATTCCTAGATATCTTACTGTTTTGGTGCTATTGAAAATGGGATGGATTCCTTAATTTCTCTTTCTGCTGCTTCATTATTAGTATACAGAAATGCAACAGATTTCTGTACACTGATTTTGTATCCTGTGACTTTTATCTGTTCTAGCAGGTTTTTGGTGGAGTCTTTTGGGTTTCCTACATATAGCATCATGTTGTCTGCAAATAGTGGAAGTTTGACTTCTTCCTTGCAATCTAGATGAATTTTATTTCTTTTTGTTGTCTAATTGCTAAGGCTATAACTTCCAGGACTATGTTAAACAACAGTGGTGAGGGACACCTGTGTGGCTCAGTCAGTTAAGCAATCAAAAGTCTTGATTTGGGCTCAGGTCATGACCACAAAGTCATGAGATTGAGCCCCACGTTGGGCTCCTCACTCAATAGGGAGTCTGCTCAAGATTCTCTCTCCCTCTCCATCTGCCCCTCACCCCTACAATAAATAAATAAAATCTGTAATAAAAAAAAATAACAGCTGTGAGAGTAGACATCCCTGTCTTCTTCCTGACCATAGAGAAAAAGCTCTCAGTTTTTCCCCATTGAGGATGGTATTAGCTGTGGGTTCTTCATATGTGGGCTTTATGATATTGTGGTATGTTCCCTCTATCCCTACTTTGCTGGGGGTTTCTCTCATGAATGGATGTTGTACTTTGTCAAATGCTTCTTCTGCATCTATCGAGAGGATCATATAGTTCTTATCCTTTCTTTTATTAATATAGTTTATCACACTGATTGATTTGAGAATACTGAACCACCCTTGCAGCCCAGAAATAAATGCCACTCGATTGTGTTGACTGTGGTGAATAATTTTTTTATTGTACGGTTGGATTTGATTTGCTAGTATTTTATTGAGAATTTTTACATCCATCTTTATCGGGGATATTGACATGTAGTTCTCTTTTTTAGTGGGATCTTTATCTGGTTTGGTATTGGTAATGCTGGCCTCATAGAATGAATTTGGAAGTTTTCTTTCCTTTTCTATTTTTTAGAACAGTTTGAGAAGAATAGGTGTTAATTCTTCTTTAAATGTCTGGTAGAATCCCCCTGGGAAGCCATCTGGCCCTGTACTTTTGTTGGTTGGGGGATTTTTGATTACTGATTCCATTTCTTTGCTGGTTATCAATCTGTTCAAGTTTCCTATTTCTTCCTGTTTCAGTTTTGGTCATTTATATGTTTCTAGGAATTTATCCATTTCTTCCAGGTTGTCCAATTTGTTGGCATATAGTTTTTCATAATATTCTCTTAAAATTGTTTGTATTTCTGTGGTGTTGGTTGTGACCTATCCTCTCTCATTTGTAATTCTATTTATTTGGGTCCTTTCTCTTTTCTTTTTGGTAAGTCTGTCTAGAGATTTATTAATTTTATTAATTTTTTCAAAGAACCAGCTCCTGGTTTCATTGATCTGTTATATTGCTTTTTAGTTTCTCTATCATTTATTTCTGCTCTAATCTTTATTATTTCCCTCTGTCTGCTGGCTTTAGACTTCTTGTTCTTCCTTCAGCTCCTTTAGGTGTAAGGTTAGGTTGTGTACCTGAGATTTTTCTTGCTTCAGAGGGTAGGCTTGTATTGCTACATACTTCCCTCTTAGAACCACCTTTGCTGCATCCCAAAGGTTTTGAACCATTGTGTATTCATTTTCATTTGTTTCCATGTATTTTTTAATTTCTTCTTTTAATTTCCTGGTTGGCTCATTCATTGTTTAGTAGGATGTTCTTTAATCTCCATGAATTTGTGGTCTTTCCACTTTTTTTCTTGTGGTTGACTTTAAGTTTCATAGTTTTGTGGTCTGAAAATATGCACAGTATGATCTCAGTCTTTTTGTACTTGTTGAGGCTGATTTGTCACCCAGTATGTGATCTATTCAGGAGAAAGTCCCATGTGCACTCGAAAAGAATGTATATTCTGCTGTTTTAGGATGGAATGTTCTGAATATATCTGTGAAGCCCATCTGGTCCACAGTGTCACTCAAAGCCATTGTTTCCTTGTTGGATTTTCTGCTTAGATGGTCTGTGCATTGATGTGAGTGGGGTGTTACAGTCCCCTACTATTACGGAATTATTATCAATGAGTTTATTTATGTTTGTTCTGAATTGTTTTATGTATTTGGGTGCTCCCAAGTTGGATGCATAAATATTTATAATTGTTAGATCTTCTTGTTGAATTGTCCCCTTGATGATTATGTAGTGCTCT